GGAATTATGGCATTTTCAATTTTGAATGGGAACCAGTTTACACTTGCCAGTAGGTGTCTAGTATTGCTTTTGCAATACTCCCAGAATGCTTGTTTTAACTTACTAATCTTATTATGCATTATATAATCTATCGGTTTTACAAAGAAAAAATTCATTCCCAATTTTGGACAATTCATAAAATATGAACATTAGGTATCGTTTTAGATGACCATAAAAAATTTTGAATTCTAAAACGATATATAAATGAGTTTTCTTATGCGTACCCAATCATCATCAAACAATCTAATTTTGGAAAACAAGACTTTTTTTAAAGTTGAAAATGAATATCGGTAAGCTTTTACAGTAGTTATGATTTAATTAGGTCAATCATCCCTCTTTGCACTCGTATAATATTTTGCTTCAAATTAAGCTAATGATTTTCAGAAGAAATTTATGATTTTAAAATATAAAAAATGCACAGAATTTTAGAATATCTTTGGGTTTAAAGAAGATGGGCGAACAAGGCTAGCAAAATGCCTATTTTGCATCAACTAATAATTAAAGTAAAAATAATCAATCTCATTTATGACAAAATTTTGTTTGATATTTCATTTAATGTTAGAGTATACTTTCTGTAAAATCTCCACAAGTCGCAACAATCTCACAAACATTGAAATTATTTGTCTATAAAATAGCACACATACACAAAAGAGGGCAAAAAGGATCGTTTCTTCATACTAAAACACAATTTTCCATATGAGTGGGTCTTCGCTCCAATTTTTTTTTTTTTTTTTTTGAAAGATTATACTCAAAATATGCGTCAAAATATACATTCTCCGGTTAACAAAAACATGGAGCAATGACCGACTTTACCTTAAAAATACACTTTTATGACACAACGTACGTATTTTTTCCGAGAAATATTCAAGTCCATTTAGTCAAGGGTCATATCAAAAACATGATTTATAAATGCCGGTATTTGCTATGAGCCGGTATTTGTTCTGAGCGGTATAGCGTAGTGGTTATTTGCGTGTTGGTCTTGAAGCTAAAATTGACATTCAGGGTTTTTAGTTGCTTGGGTTCGAACCCTGAAGAATCCCCCCTTTTTTTAAATCATAGAATGATTTTTGCTGGAAGAATTTTCGAGGAAAAGTTTTGTTTTTCAGAATTTCATAGCTTTCAATGACTCTAAATACTTAATTTATATTTTTATTAAATTCAATGTATGACTTTTATATATTTGAAGCTATATGCATTTTGCACGCCTTGGACAGAATTCGCATTTAAACTTGTCAATTTCATTAAGGAATAATAGTAATTTATCCCCCTAAGAGTTATCCTTCTTATCAGAGGATCAACGAACGTTAAACTCAATTCATATACGCTCTTGACCTGTGCGTGACACTGCCGATTACGCACAGCCTGATGGTCCATGTACAATACGTTTCATTATATTTTAGTCCATCATATTAAATTGTATTAAAGCTGAACAATAGTCGAAAATAGGCATACGCCGTATTAGTTTTCCTATCACCTATATCAGCACTTGGGTGTATAAACCCTTACATAGCATTTGTTATACCTGATTGATCTGGTCTCTGTGGCGTGTAGTACATGTATATCTCACGTACGTTATCCTCTTGGTCTACGTTTTATTTCATTTAAGGTGCACAATTTTGTGTTTATTTCACTTTTTAATGCATATTACATTGTAGTTATAACAATTATATTTCAGTAATCTAGACGCTTCATTAATTCGAACAATATATGCTCTGGAACAAAATCAGCGAGTTTAACGAAACTCGACTCCATAGCCATACATGTATATATTTATGTATAGTGGGTACCCTTGTATCGAGAAGTTCTACGTTATTTCTGCTTTAATAATTCTTCACTTAGGGCAGTTATCGTAGTTACGGATTTCATTGTAAATAAAAAAAGTACAATGTGTGTTGGTAACGACCCTCTTATAAAACTAATCAATCTTACTGCATTTCATTAGAGTTTTGATCTAATAATCAGTTCATCTATGTTTTTGTTTACTATATGGTACAATAGAGGTTTACATATCCTGTGTATGTAATTCCAACATGTCAGACATCGTTTCTTTAGTCCTTTTATAAATGGGTTCAAATTCGTGATCATAGCGTTGGGCAAGGCATTTTTATCATTTTCAAGTATAGTTTGGTTCAATTTAATATTGTTTGTATACTGTTTCTAAACGGTTTTGAAATTTTAATTGCTTAATTGCAATAGTACAAAAACTTTAGGAGGGGCGTTTTGAAAGAAAATCACTGACATTTCTATTTTTAGTAACAGTTGCATCATCATTCATCGAAATCATAAACCAATAAGCAGAATTATGCATCATAGTGTAGTCTATTTGTTAAATGGGTAATACTGAATTTTGGACCAAAACTGTAGGGGGATAAGCGTTTTGAAAGAATTTCAAAGAAAATTCTTTTTTTAGTAATCATGGCAACACCATTCATCGAAATAAAAAACGGATAAATAGAATTATGTGTCCTAGTGTAGTCTATTTGTGTACCCTGTGATACTGAAATCAGATTAAAACTGTAGGAGGCGTAGCGTTTTAAAAGATTTTCACAAAAAATACCTATTTTAGTAAAAATGGCAACACCATTCATAGAAATCAGAAACGGATAAAAAGAATTACATTGTATGTATCTTTGTGTAGTCTACTTGTGTAACCAGTAATATTAAAATTAGACTAAAACTGTAGGAGGAGTAGCGTTTTGAAAGACTTTCATAAAAAAATATCTTTCTTAGTAACCAAGGCAACAGCGTTCAATGAAATCAAGAACTGATAAACAAAAATTATGTATTTTAGTACAGTCTATTTGTGTTACTGTACCAAGTTATACACTCAATTCGGACGAATTCATTATACTGCTGGAGGAGTAGCATTTTGAAAGAATTCCTTTTTTTAGTAACCATGGCTACACCAACCATCAAAAACCGATAAAAAGAATTATGCATCTTAGTTTCCTCCACTTTTGTACCAAGTTATATTGATACTGGACCAAAACTGTAGGAGGAGTAGCATTTTGAAAAAATTGTTTACAGACAGACGGACACCTTACTATCGCATCAATTTTTCTGAGAGCTAATTAATGACCATGGATCCTCCTAGAAAACGCGGGCCACTGTTAAGCTATTAGAAAGAGTCCAACATATGAAGCTTAAGAAGTGAAGTAAAGTAGCCCCCCTCCCACCCACCCCACCCCCGGATCTGATCTGCATCTGATGTCTCTGGTTGAACACAACTATTTTCGCGCATCATTAGATGGGTATTTCATAATGAATTTATAACTAGAACTATTGATTTATTTACAGGACATTAATTATCACTGCAATAAATCACAGAGCAAATGTCATTGTTCAGTGCGGTTTCATATGCAGATCTAGGAATTTTTTCAAATTAAAAAGGAAAGGGGGGGGGGGGGTGTCCATAAAACTCGCATGAATATTCCCGCAACATTACAACAAGGAAGACCTGTACATTTGTTTCAGGAATATGTGGCATGTTTCTGCTAGGTATAAGGATAAGGAAATTGCCCAACCACATAATTACATGTATGCAGTAGACCTATCCACTTCACAGTTACATGTTAATTATTTGTTGAAACCCCTTTCATAAGAAATGGCCATTGTCGGGACATCTGTATTTATCAAACACATCTTGTTGTTCCTTATACGACATTATTTTGTACCTAATAATTAAATGGTTCAATATTTTTAATTTTTATTTTTAAATGGTAGCATTTTGAAGGTGTTATCAAATACAAGTACTCCACCAAGGGAAATTAATCAACTAATTGCACTTAGAATTTTACATTGAAGTCTATGGGCAGCGCATGTTTTATTTATTAAGATATTAGGTAATTTGAACTTCAAACAAATCTCTTGGTGAAAATAAGCATAAACTCTCCCTTTATTAAAATATGAAATATAATGAATCATCTACCACGGATATTTTGACAAAATTAAAATTTTCTTCTTTTCATCAAGGGCAGATAACTCTTCAAAAATGTTTAAGGTGCAAAATGACCAGCATCTAATATGTTATCAGTCATGTGAATTTGGTTTATTTTACTTGCATCATAATCTAGTAATACATATTTATTAAACTAGTTTAAAATGATTCAAAATTGTTCAATATTCCTTCATTATACATTGAATATCCTGAGAAAATAGGGTTTTAATCAAATGGGGATTTCATCTTTTAAAAAAAGTTTTTGCATTGAATTTCAATAGAGATTTGGGGAGAATGAAAAAAATACGGCTGGTTTTATAGCCATATTTTATGACAAATACATGTAAGTGTTTTAGCAATAAACTATTTTAAAGATTTCTAAAACATAATTTTCGGAGTATCCTTTGTCCTTAAAATTACCTGTATATAAAAATCTAACGTAGACCAATGTTTTCAGGTTCAGAATCCATAAAGAATTAGAGATCATTAAACTTTGCTTGTGTTTATTTTTTGGAGGAGTTGGTGACATGGCTGAAGAGAATTTCATTAAGATTATTACCGATTGCTATTGACATTTTGTTGTTGGTTGAAAAATTGTTTTTCTAAAACGGATAACTCTCGACTATGTCTACAAAAAATGAAAGACCAAAAAAGTCACTGATATTGGAAATTTACATGTACTTTTTAAAATCTGAATTTATGTTGAATCTCATTACTTGAGAGACTCCCAGGAGCAGTTATTTAATATTGTAAACCAATTATTATTCGCGACAACCTTTATTCTGGATTCTACAGTTCAGAAATCATCCGCGACTACTTATTTTCGTGACTGAAGCAACATTCTACATAGATACATAGGTGAATAATTGGTTCGTGACGCGAAAAATTCGCAATTGAAAGAAGGCCGCGAAGCTTGAGGATATTTCTTGCTCGCGAGTAAAAGTTGGTTTACAGTAAATATGTACATTTCAATGGGATTCACATTTTTGACATCGGTGCAATACTTTGAGTGAGTATTCATAAACATTGTTGAAAATATTTTTATAGAATACATAAACAAAAACATGCATACAAAACAATAATCACTGACCTATGCTTGTCCATTGAACTGAACTTCGAATAAATAAACAAAAAAGTGCTTATCCAGTAATCAAAGCTACTACCTAAAACAAAGACAACTTGCCACTAATATAAATATTTATTTAAAAAGCTCATATCTGTATTCAAAGTTACTACCCTGACTTTAAATATGCCATCATTCTGAACACTTGATCTCTTCTGTTCCCAACACTGTTGGCCATCACATTTATTGTCAATAATATATATTCACAGCCACTGACCATGACCATTTAATATTTTCAATATCCAAGCCACATTTTCACTGACCACGACCATTAAATATTTTCAATATCCAAGCTACATTTACATTGACCACAGTTTTACATTCCAGCAGGATTGTCAGACATCTCCTCGGCTTCTGTCTCTTCTTCTTTCGCAAGACCCTCTCTTTTCTCAATTTCTGAAAAAAATCAAAAGCTTGTCATTTAGCGATGTCCCTGGCTTAGGAATAAAAAATGTGGAAGAAGGAACCTCAGTACAGAGACAGAGAGAAGAGGTTTGACAATTCTCATCAAAAAATAAAGTTATCATATGCACTCCCTCCCCTACAGGTCGCCCGCTGCTTGTTGCAGGGAATAGGAAGGCTCTAGGAACATTAATAAAAGTGCCAACAATGAATCACCCACTTCTAAAAATCCTAAAGACTAAGTATCGATTCTCAAGTGTCTGTAGATGCATTATATACCCAATACTTTATTTTTTTGCTAGAAGAACTTGCTTAAGTTGTTAAATTTCTAAAACTTCTAGCAAAGCATGCAATAGATAAATTCTGACCTAAACCTTGGAATTTTTTTTTTTTACCTCTATTCTAAATCAATATGGGTCTTCTTTTTGTCATGGGGGTAATGATAAAAATCTATTGCATGATCTTAAAGAGAAGTACAGTTATCGTTATGCAATATTAGAATTTCAGGCTTTGCCAGGACCTTTGAGTCTTTCATCTATAAATCACAAGTTTTTTTTTATGTCACTGGGTAAGGTTTCAAATTTCATTGTATTCATGTAAGAGTTCAAGGAAATTTAGAGACATTATCTGAAAACTAAAGTGGTACGCACAGACAGAAAATTAATATCCTCGGAAAATGTAGATCAGATACAACATTGTGAGGAAGCCTGCTACATGTATTTTGTGCATCTCTACAGCCATCAATCATACAGGTTTGGTCAGAGTAAGGCTTAAAGGTGCTTGGACACAGATTTGAAGTCATTTTCTCAAATTTTCTGTATAATTTCATGACTTATATGTTGCTATAGCATTTCATACTGATTTAAAAATATAACAAAAATCTTATTCCATCTGGAAGTTATCAAAACTTTGAATTTCTGGACGCGTTTGATTGACACATCCTTGCGTGTCACATATTTTAATTTTATTCTTAATACTTAAGAAAAGTTGTGTATTAATGAAAAATATTTTACATGTAACTATAACCCAGAAAATTCAGAGTAGAAATGTTCGAAATCAAAACCCACTCACAGTATTGTAAGTCTGTGCTCAGTGGTGTGTGCAGAGTTTAACAATTGAACACACCCGGTGAATTGTAAACATTAACAATAACAGAGCTCGTGCCCTGTTAACAGTTTACGTTCTACAGGTGTGTCCAATTTGTTAAACTCTGTACACATCACAGAGCACGGACTGACAATACTGGTGAGTTGGTTTTCAGCTTTCGAACATTTATACTCTGAATTTTCTGGATTATAGACGTAATATTTTTCAATAATACATAACAAAATCGCTTCTTTTCTTAAATATTAAGGATAAAGTTAAAATTTGTGTAAGAGCAAAGATGTGTTATGTAATCAAATGCGTCCCAGAATTCATAGTTCCAATAATTTCCAGATAAAATAAGTTTTTAATTATATTTTCGTGTGAAATGCTATTGCAATATATAAGTCGTGATATTATACAGAAAATTTGAGAAAATATTAAGTTCAAATCTGTGTCTAAGCACCTTTAAAGTTACTTGGGAGTGGATCTAAAGCTAAATAAAATTGAAATTACAGTTCTCAGGCCAGTGCACATCCATTTTGAGGTAGTCGCATTCCAAATTTTATCGTATTTTTGATAAAATAAAAAGTTGGTAATGCGGAGACTAATCCTGAAAAAAGTTCCGCCCTCATTTTTTCGTGGTTTAGTGCTCGAATATTGTTTCTGATAGCCATTTTCAAAGAGACTCAGCTACTTCGTTTAAAAATACATTGAAGGATAATGCCTACGATGTTCACAAGTTGATAAGCAATGGATAATGCAAACCCATTGATCAGACATGGAAAGTATATCTATGAACAAAAGATTTTTATCATTATTTTATAGAAAATTCAGTATTAAAAAAATACCTCCCCCATCTACTTTATTGCCAACAAAATGATAAGAGAAAAAAAGCCTCCCTCCTGCATCTGTTTTGGTCAATTGGAGAAAATTGGCCTTAGAACCAGAGAATTAAATCTATGTAGCCTAATGTAAAGCATGCTTTTGTACCTTCTGCTATGATGTCTAAGATGTTAGATTCACAAACTTTCCTGTATTCTTTGGATTCCATGACTTTTTCTTCATTCAAATATTTCATAAAATATTTCAAAGGAACTGCAGATTCTTGTCCAATACTGACATATTTCTTGGCAAGTTTAGGAAGTACAACAGCCTAGAATGAATAAAAAAATTGTATCTAAATACATTTATATATAATGACTCAATTTCAAAAAAATCTATCAAGTAATTATAAATTTTAAACTAAAATATTTCCATACTGTTGATCACCAAATTTTGAAACACCTTATATTCACGAGATAGTTATTTATTAATAATAATCAAGACAAAATTTTCACAAATAATGGTAACGTTATTGTTTTAAATAATCTATACAAAAAAATATACGCTTGAATAAAATTTCAGGAGCTGACCGACTCATGTAATTAGGCCAAAATGAAGAACTTTTGAAGAAAAAGTATTAAAAAAAATTAGGCCTGTTGACCTGAAGTGTCAAGCTACTTACAGAAACAATAATTGTGCCCTTTGACCCAATTATCTCGTAAATAATCCTGGTTATTAAGACACTTGAAACAGATCCTACAGCCTGTACCCTAAATCATTCTTACCAATAAGATATTGAAAAGAAACTATAATTATTCTTACAGCAAAATATGTTGTACCTTTCACTCCGAGGAATGAATGTAACTAAAGTTAAGCTATAAATAATAATAATGAACAAATGTCCAAAGACAAAACATTCACAGGTAATAGCAAATACAGTAAAACATGCTTCTAGCGAATACCCTTATAACGAATTGACGCTTATAGGGAAGTGATTTTCATTCCCCACGACTTTAAAATAAATTGTTAACACATTCATTTAGCTTTAGTGTAATCAACTTGAATGTCTGTTTTATTGACAAAAATTATTAGAGTAGTGTTTTAATTATTTTCAATGATTTTTTTTTTTAATTTTTAGTAACCAAGGTAAAACAGTTTGTCAAAATCAAAAAAAAAGACATAAAAATTATTTATCTTAAAGTACTTAAATTTTGTACTTATTTTTGTTCAAGAGGAATCTAACTATTGAAATTGATTATTAACCATGTTAACAGATGGACACACAGGCAGACAGAAAACAACAAATGTTTGCGTAGTACGCTCTTCTGATCTTTGACCAGTGGAGCTATTAATACTGGTTCATGTTAAAAATTACAATGTCAGGGTTATCCCTAAGACCCGGGGGGTCAGGGAATTTCCTCGCCTATAATAATGCAATCCCCTGATTATTTTGGTATTCCTCCTAAACTCGCCATTAGGAGAGGAACCCAAGATCCCCTTCTACTTTTTAAATGTCCCCTTCTATTTCAATTCTTTGGGACAACCCTGCAATGTACTTACTTCTCCATTGTATCTGACAATAACGTAGTATTGTTTAGTGTTATTGCACTGGTAGAGCTCAAAAAGCAGATCTGATGCAAATGGTGGCCAATGTTTGTCATCTAGCTTCAAGGCAAGGAGTAAGGCCATTAGAGAGGAGTCATGGGCAGAATACAGGTACAGGCGTACTGGTCTATAAATAGAAGTAATACAGGTAAAGGTGTACTGGTCTATAAATACAAGAAATAACAGGTATAAATGTACCGGTCTATAAATACAAGAAATACAAGACATTAGTATAAATTTAGTAGCTGTATAAGAAATACAGGAATAATCATACCAGCCTATCAATACAGGAAAATAATACAATTAATGTACTTAACAAAAAATACAAGCAATTCAAGTAAATGTACCAACATATATTTCATACAAGAAATACATATATAAGAGTACTTGTCTATAAGTATAAGAAATACAGATATATGTCTATGTGTACTGTTGTTATACACAAGTCATAGGTACATGTAAAAAAAGGTACTAATTAATAAATACATAAATTAAAGTAAGGTACACAGACAAAATACTGGATAAAAAATCTTCACTTTCCACTTCTTCACTACATTAAAAACATATGCAACGAACTGAAACTAGACCAACTGTTCCAGAGAAGAAGCTGAAAAATGTACAAAAGTTTATATCCAACATATACAGGTATGTAGCATGTGGGGGGACCAGGCCCCACACTTTTTCTGAGAATAGACTTTTGCTGTATGTTAATTTTCATTTGGATGCTGCTCTCCCTTTTTTGTTTCTCTACGGTCAAACACTGAAAAATCATATCATTTAAAAAAAAAAATGTAATGAAAAATTAAAGAAAGTCCCCCCCCCCCCCCCCCCCCTTCTCAACTGATGAGATAGGATTTTTGAGTTTTGGCAATTTAAAGTTTTTTTTTTCCAAATTTTTTTTTGCTTATCAATGCAAAGCCCCCCCCCTTCCGTTGAAAAATGTTACTACAGGCCTGACAGATGAAGTCCAATGACAGACAAAAGCAGACAACAATAGGGCATCTGAAAGAACAGTTGACATTAAATATTTGAAAATTGAAAGGTACTCATGAAAAGACAAAGAAGAATCTCCATGCCATTGTGTACCCCTCAATGACAAAAAGTTACCTTGTATCACTGATAAAATCTCGAAGGGCATTTCTAAACAGTTCTAGCATTCTACCACTTGAAAGATTTGATGCTATATCATTCTGGAGTCTGAAAGAAAATTAAGGTTTTAGAATTTTGCAAGAGCAAGACACTTTGATACTCAAGATTTTTGCAAATCTAACATTGTACATGTATCTATGTTAGATCAATATACAATGTATATGTAAATTCCTAAGTCAGATGGAAAAGTTGACAGCAACATTTTATCAAAATAACAGATTACTGCAGATTTCCTAAAGAAACAGGAGGTATTGATTGCTGGAAAAATTTGGGAAAGCATTGGACACTCAAAAATATTACTCATTTTTTATTTTATACCGCTAAAACATATGTACATATAGAAACGCTAGATCCTAAATCCACCCTCAAATTTATATATATTATATATTTTTTTGCAATTTGACATGAATCAATGAGCGAATTGAAATTCTTCATGGTTATTTTCCTAGATTCCGTCAGACTTTATTATCTCAAACTCAAAGGGACCAGAATTCAACTTGGAGATGTCAAATAATTTGAGAAGGTTAAAAAACGTTCTGAAAAAAAGTGGTTGGGACTGTCACATCACTTACATGTAAACACATCCCTGGTATTCCAGAAATCAGTGTAAGAGTTAATGAATTTTTAATGTATTCCATACTTTAAAATAATAAATCATTAACCAAGTTTACTGTATTCATACCATGAAACATAGCATGTCCATTAAATTTCAAGTGATTCTCAAAATCTCAAATACATTTCCCCTCTCATCTCTTTAAGAAAAACATACCTTGTGTTAATGTGCGAGTAGCTAATTGATATAATGTACTTACTCATGTTGTCCTATGAAAGAATATGAAAACATCTGCACTGCATTTTCAGTTATCTTAGTCACATATGGCACTAGAACCTTGGGTATATGGAGACCATGAGCCTGAAATATTAACATTAGAAATATGTACAACTGTAAGTAAGGGGCATAACTCTATCAACTCGTACTCTGATACAACCAAAAATGAATTAAAAATTCATACACAAATTCAAGCAAGTTACAAATTTTTCCACAAACCGCTCTGGCTGCCAGATCATCCCTAGCTGATATAAAATGTATTTTGCTTTTCCAATCTTTTCCACTCATTCCTTAATTTAAAAAAAGCACACTTAATAATTAATGTACGTACAGTGTACATCACATTTAACAGAACAGTGCACATTTTTACATCTATCTGCATGTACATCACATTTAACATAATTCTTTTTTATTAAGCCATTCCCAGTTTTTCTCTATTTAGCGTCCACCACCAATAATTCAAACCTACCTACCTATCCCCCCCCCCTAAAAAAAAAAAATCAAACACAACTTTATGTTCATGAAAGCAACATCATTCAAAGAATTTGGTATGATGTTCTTTCTTCTCATAGAAAGATAGTGTCATCAAATTCAATCTGTTTAAAAAGGAACTTAGTAATTAAATGCTATATATCAGTATATACATGTATATATACCAAATTAGACAGGTTCTTGAAAAACAGCAAAAGAGTTGACAGAATTTACAATGTTTCAAAAAGAAAAAAAAATGAGCAGGAGTATACTGATTTTTTTATGTTATAGACAAATGGAGCATCTACATGTAAAACCAAGGCACATGCAGATCATAAGAGAGGAATGGCCTTATTACACAGTAAAACTTGATATAAAAAAATAATAATCCTTTTTACTGCATTTTTTTTCAAGACTATTCTGTCATAAAGAGTATTTTACATGACTTATATATACAATATACATATAATATACTGTAAATTTACGTTTTTCACAGGTCATTATTATTTCGCGGAATCACAATTTATGTTCAATTCCTGGGTAGGAAATTATGCAGATTTCTTGGATTGCCATTGTTTATCTTAAATGCACCTTAAGTACACTGAAACAATTTCCATGGAAACTTTGAGACCGTGTATCTATAATTAATTAAATCCCAATGGAAAAATGTACATCTACAGTATATAAACCAAAAAAAACAGTTTCTCCCAAATCTTCTTCATCCCCCCTCCTTTTTATCTTCAGGTTTTCCCACTAGAAAATATCACAAGCCTTTACTAAACTACCACTGGGTGCCAAATGCACTGCGTAAAAAAAAAAAGAATGCAAGAATGAAGAAGTCTATTTTCTTCCCACGAGGCATGTTGGCAATCTACATGTAACCTCTGAGCGACATATCCATCCCTGTAACAATTATCTATTCAGCCTTTTCTCTATAAATAACAAACTACAGTCTAATCTTGTTATCTGCAACTCAATATGACCAAATAACATCTTTGAGATATCTGAGGAATAGAGTACTGAAGTTTAAAGAAAGAGTGGTTGGGACTTACTACTCACTTTGACATGTCCACTGTCTTTTTAAGATACCATATTTCACCTGTATTCATCATTTAACAGTTACCGCTATATTAGTTTTACCTAACACTTTTTCTATTTCCTGTCTGTCCTCTAGGAACTCGGGTAAATCCACCCCGTCCACAATGGCCGCCCTGTTGATCCGCTTGAGGACAGGGCAGGTGTGGGGATTAGGAAACAGGTGTTCAGATTCCTGAGTGGCAGTATAAAAGGTAATCTTCTGACCTAAATATACAAGATTTATATGATTATAGTCAAACCTCTTTTTATCAAAGGGGCTGAAAAAAACTTCTCAATATAGACGGTAAAATTTACATTGTATTAAAAAATGTTTTCTCTTTTATATATCCATGCTATTTGAGAAATTGATATTCGAGAAAAAGAAATTCAACTGAATTAACATCAGGATTAGAAAGAACATCATTTGTATCCATGTACACTATTCTGTTTTAGTTAAATGTCAATAACATGTTAAAATTTTATGAAGAAAAATTACTTTGCCATGAAAAAATGACAGTAAAAGTTTTTTGATTGAAGATATATCTCTCATAAATCAAAAATTAAAGAATATATGCAGTAATATGACATTTATATCTGCCCCTTTAGCAATGACTTTAAGGCAAATTTTGAAAATCTACCAATTTCAAAATAGGCACAATATTCAATATAAAGCATAATGTATACAAAAAAAGACAATAACAAAAATATCTTATGGTTCAGAAAAAAATGTTCATGAAGATTAGCAAGTAAATTAGTAGGAATTTTTTAAAAAGATTTTTATACAATTTCAAAATCTAATCTTCTTTTATAATTACATGTTTTGAAATATCTCCCCAAAAAAGTTCTCTTCTTTCATTTTGATTATTCATTTGCTTTATTCATTTGTTCAATGATGAACTTTTCTCTACATGTAATGTCATGTATAAATGAAGACTCCGCTGACATAACGTGCACAGTAATTAAAAAAAAAGTGTTTTTTTTTTTGACATGAAGGTTCGACGACTCTCTGATAAGGCAGATAACTCTGAAAATGAAAATTGTTCCTTTACAAAACTATCAGGCTAAAATGCCATTTAATGATTTTCGAAAAAATTATACTGTGCAGGCATGCTTAATTTATGTGCAGCTAAATTTAATTTCTGTTAGAAACAAGTAGCATTAAAGAAATTTTTTTTTTTAAGTGTCAGAGGGTTTATGAACCTAGATTTTGTTTGATGTGTTTAGTCCCCTTAATACAGTTTTTTTTTTTTTAAAGTAGCCCTTTTCTTTATTTCTTTGATTTACAAAAATCTTAAACATTTAAAATTACATTTAACTAAAAAAAAAATCTCCTTGCATGTGGAATACTATTGCAAAGGTGCCAAATATTAATAAAGACTGAAGCACATTTAATAATGGTTTTAAGTTCATTGAAAATTTTTTTTTTCCCTAACTTAAATCTGATCTTGGAAGTTAAAATGTGTTAATTCTTAAAAAAAAAAAGAAACAAAAATAAAAAAAAAAACAGTCAATAAAAAACTCTTGTTTAATAAACCTAAACAAACCCGTTTTCTCAGTATGCTCTTGAAGTTGCTCTGCTCCAAAAACACCAGCCAGAACACAGCGTAGTGAATCTTTTGTACGGTTCATGTTCGTGGTTCTTAAACTGAAATACAGCCAATAAATAACCACATTAGAGATACATTCTACAACATTAAAAAAATTTCGTTAACAGTTAATTTTGTTGATAAATAAATGAAATCTCCAATGAATATTTCCTCTTTAATTTACAGTATTCTAATTATATCAGAAAGATAAACACCTACTAGACTAGGTCGGGATCAAACTCTGACATAAGTCTACCAGGAAGTTTCCCGATGTAGTATTTCCTAAGTCTCCTCCCTAAATTGTAGGTCTGGACCTGACCTAGATAAGTTAACATCCCATGTGGACAGCCACCCTGTTAAAATAGAGTGACATCCTTAACTTACCCAACCTGTCAAAAGAGGGTAACAGATAAAGGTGATACATGTATATTTACAGTAAACTGTTTAACTTTGGTATCTTGAACACTGATGTCTCGAATACAATGGATATGTCGAAGTGATTTGGAGGTCCCAACCCTTTATTCTTGAAGTATTTTACCCTGGATATCTCGAATCCTTGGATATCTTGAAGTTTTTTTTCAGTCCCATAGAGTTCGAGATAACGAGGTTTGACTGTATGTATATTTCCTTCTTTTTTCACTGTATATAAGTTCTTTGATTTACCTTAAGTAATCCTAGTTTCTTATAGTATTCTTCATACTTCGAGTCAGGTGCCTGTTTCCCATCAATATTTAAAACTTCATAGTCATAGATTGTAGGGGGGAAAGATTTCTTCCATTTCTTTTTATCGTAAGTTGCCTGAAAATTGTAACAGAAATATAATTTACAGTAAAACTTGTCCAACCAAGGTGTTATATATTCTGACATCTTGCCTTTTATAATAAAAATACTCAGTCCATTTCAGTTTAATTGTTTTTTTTTTTTTTTTTTTTTTTTTTTAAATTTTTTTCTTCCTCTCCAGAATGTGTTGTCTATGGAACCAGTTTTGTCCAGATTAGACAAGATTTATAATTTTATTGTTCATGCACATAATCATTTATATTTCATATCAGAAGCAACATGGGAGTACCAATCTTCAGTCTCTGAGTATGATAAAATAGAAATATCTTGTACTATTCACAGATCTGTAAATGTCTCCTGTCATGTAAATTTTTGTGATTTGCTGGAACATAGTGGAACTTGCAGTAACAGTTTTACTTGAGACAGGAGAAACTTAAGTTATAATCAATGGATTTGTTATCATTATGAGTAAAAATAGAAAAGAAAAGTATATATAGTTTATACATTTTAAGCTGTGTACATGTTATGTCACACAAAACTTGTGTAATGACAGCTGAATAAAGCAAGACATATACCGTTTTGTAATGCTTAACAGACTGTTTACAAATCGTCTAAGTCATTCAAATATTAAATATCTACATTCTGGAAAGATTACAAAAATAAAATATAATTCTCAAACCTCCTCAATTGCGGGAATTAGATGTAGAGGTGTTCTAGCTCCATGCCGGAAAATAACTTGAACCTGCTTTAAATTTAGGTCTAGATTTTCTACTTTTGATGGCTGCTTCTGTGACTTGCGACCCTCGCCATCACGCCGACGATAATATGTCCATGCTCCAGCAACACCAGATAGTCCTCCGAGAGCAACTATCACGAGTTTCTGCTTTGAAGAAGACATATGTCTAAGACAGAGATTTTTCGCAAGATTTATGAGACAGCCAAGATAAAATGTCGAGCCCGATGTCCTATGTTTTACATAATCTCGATCCCGAGAATTCTTAAGTCAAGTAAGCATATATTATTCCCTCGCTAACTTTTCTCAGTGATATGGTTAAATTGCAGCGAGCCTGTCTTAAATGTTATTTTGGGCATAGCTTTCTTTCTTTTTTTTTTACATTAATTTGAAAATGGCTTTAATCTGTTTTAAAAAAATTAGAAAGATATACTTATTGATGCAATTTTAACAGAATCATTTATTTTGGAAGAATTTACAATCATCTGAAGTTTTTGGCCCAGGTCGTACTGAATTTCTTTTGTAAAAGTAGGAACCAATTTCTATTTGCGAAGGGGGGGGGGCAAACTTTTTTAGTTTGGAGGGGTACTACACTACCAGACAAGCAAAAGGAAAAAAAGACCCCCTCCCACTTCCTTTTCCCCATGCCCATGATTAGTTGAAGAGATGTTTAAATAAATTGTTGCGTGCATCACGCATCATCTTGTAAAAATTTGACGTTTGTACCCCATGAAGAACAAAAATAAATGCATTTTTTTTTTTTTTATAGAAATTGAACTTCTTTCAACCTTGCCTTAGATACCAATGTTTGATAGCAGGATATGAAATTAGAAGTGATCTGTGATGTCTTACAATGCTAGCACAAACTTATTATACTATTTTTTTTTTTTTTTTTTTTTTTTTTTTTAATAAAAATATGATTAACTTTAATGTATATGAACTTTGAAGAAATACCATGGATAAATACACATTGTTTTGGGAATTCATAGACATTTTTGTGGGCATTTTCAATTACCCAACTCCTGATTTTCGGGCCTAAGGATCGGACTACCTTATGCTGCAGAGATTTTGTTAATAATCCTTGAATAAATTCAAGCATTTTAAATAGGGATGTCAAAATATTTATTTTCTTTAGTCGAATATTCGATTGCATTATTCGAACGATAGTCGAATATATTCGAAACTTTTTCGGAAACTAAAATTTTATTTCAAACTTCAATGGTACATGACATATTTAACCCCGAATCCCCTTTTCTTAAATTTATTAAAAAGTTACATCAAATGTTACACACAGATTTTCACATGGACCTAAAATGTGGATAGCGTGTTTATATTTACTAAATATAGACCGCTAATTCACCAAAATGTATGATTTCCCCGTCAATCATGTTCACAAATCGGTCTGTAAAGTCGTTTTTTTTAGGAAGCATAAAAATTGACAGTACGATATATTTTTTTAAAAGCTTATTAAAACGAGGGGGAACACACGGTGTCTGTGATAATGTTAAACATTTGAATATACTTTTTGTACCAACTATCAAATGCCTGTAAAAGAATATTAATTTTATAATAATTACCGTAGTGTCCAAACATTTCACGGCTATAATGGGTACATGGTATGAGATCAAGTCCAATTAATAATTTTACAAAGAAAGCGCAGTAAAGCGAGATAATTTTATTACAAAAACAACATATTAATTGACAAATAATTCTCGCGGAAGGGAAGCATTTCTAATTACTGTACTCTCTACATGTAAAGGCAGTTTTTAATGAGGAAAATTATCTTATCGTCTGTGTCTGAGGAAAGACAGTTTCTCAATTTTAGGATGAGAATTCCATCTCTTTATCACTCTTTTATTGAATTTATTTATTCGAATGTCGTTTCGTTATTCGATCGTCGGTCCATTCGACTGATAGTCGAATAGTCGATTATTCGTTGACATCCCTAATTTTAAAGTATACATTAGGCCTAGATAAAATAATTTAACACTTCACATGTACATGTAACTGATACTATTTTTTTTTTCATGTAAGAAAGCAACAGTGATATCTGTTCAATACTTCATTATCTTTGATTATTTTTCTTTCGGGTAAATGGCGTGCACCAAAATGGATTATGAACTCAATATTAATGTAGACTTAAGATGTTCATGTAAAAAGTAAATAAATAAAAAAAATAAAAATAAATAGATAAAAAAAAAGATAAAAAAAATTCATTATAGTATATACATTGTAGATGGTCTTTAAAAAGATACTGACTAATGACAGCTTCTATTCTGGTTCATGAAAAATTATTATCATAAAGATTTATTCATGTTTTATAACACACATTGCATAAACTTCAGTGAAACAATAAATGAGTAAAATATGCAGATTTAACAAAAAACTGGGTCGAGGATTTTAATTTATTCTTTGTGTTACATAACCGGATTTTTGCATTTTTTGAAATTGGAAACAAAATTAAAACATGATTTTTAGATATTTAATATCATAAATGCAAATCATGCATCATTTAGTGACATTTTTCGCATACTTAACACATCAAACATACAATTTGTAATCGAAGCAAGTCGTTTATTGGTTGTAATGATAGCCACGAAGGTAGATGTCTTAAGTTTGGAGCAAGTGATTGTGGCATTATGCCCTTCACGGTTGAGAGAGAGAGAGAGAGAGAGAGAGAGAGAGAGAGAGAGAGACTCTAAGAGAATTGCTCAGTGTGTACTTCACTTTACGGGCTGTCCTTAAATAATATTATTTTTGATTAATTTTCAATCCTCTATTAACTATCAATTTTGAACTAAATCTCATTCTTTATTTTCCAACTTCACTTCGAAAAAACTAAAGGTAAAAAATATACACTTGTACATACAAAACAATTTCAAGAAAGACTGGGTTATTATGAATAGAGAATATATTTATATCCTCACGCAGACACGTACAATGTAGTATCGGGAAGGGGAGGGGGTGTTCCCCAACCTTTTTTCCAAACATAGCTTTTTACTATTGAAAATGTTTGAAAAGCTGGTTGTTCCCCAATTTTTGTTGTAGCATAGGTAAATTATGATAATTTGGTAAGGCTATGATTTAATGTGGCCCTGAACGGAAGATGGAACCTACCCCCACCCCATCCTCCGAAGTAAGATTTTCGAGTTTTGCCTGTCAAATTTTTTTGAGGTACATGTAAGTTGTCAATTTTTTTTGGGTCACCCTTTCAAAAACGATACTACGTGCCTGTCACAATAAATATAACAATGCATGAACCAGTCCCAGTCCAACTGTTCAGATAAACGTCAAGGAGGAGTATCCTGTCCAAAAGAACCAGTTATATTATGTTATACGAGTAAGTAAGTAAGTAATTTATTTATTTATTATAGTGACACGTGTTGCATTTATAAATACAAGAATAAATAGAAGTTTAATTTAAAAACCCGGCCCACTGGGCCTCTATGTCACTGTTTCACTGACAAAAGGTAATACACGTAGTACATATATGCACATGTCAATTAATGATTATTTTCAATTTAGAGTTCATAGCTTGTATATAATCAGTATAAAATTATATGAAATATAAGATATGTTCACAAGTACCTATTATCAATACATAACATTTCTTCGCATTAAATATGCCTTAGGCCGTGGTAAATAATATCTTTGTATTACGTCCCTTAATTTTTGAAAAAGTACCCCCAGCCCGACTCAAAAAAAAAAAAAAAAAAAAAAACAACAACAACAAACAAACAAACAAAAAACCCAAGCACATTTCAAAAAACATATTCAATAATTAGCAAATTATTGACTAGTAAATGAGAATGCATTCTTTCACATTTCTTTATATTTTAAAGTACTTTATTCAAGTGGAAAAATGTCAATTTCCCACAATAGTATTAATATAAGCCAAAGTATTTGAATTTCGTTAAATTTTTGCTTTCTTAGGATTTTTTTTTTTTTTTTTTTTTTTTTTTTTTTTTTTTTTTTGATTTTTTTCATTTCAGTCTCAAAGATGAAGAATACTGTAGCCGTAGAATTGAATGGATTTGCAATATTTCCAAAATAGAAGGAAAAAAATGTTGAGAATTTGACAAACTTGTCTTTGTTTTTCTGGATTTTCCTTAAGACCTACTAGCCAGGGGGACGTAAAACAAAGAATTAATTTACTGTGGTCTTATAGTTATAGATAAACTTAGCACATTTTCAATACGTTTGATAGAGCATTTGTGTCTGTAATGATAATATCAACGTCATGAAAAGCCTGAGATTTTATATCTTTTTTTATTTATGCAGCACATTTAAGGAGAAAATGATGTTTATCTTCAATAGAGCCAGAGTTACAAAAGTTACAAAATCTTTCACCGACTTCTTCATTAATATAACGTCCAGTCTCAATACCTAACGGTAGTAATCCTACCCTAGGACGAGAAAGGCTTTAATACCAATTGGATGTTTAATATAATTTAATGACGATTTCATAGTTAGAGGAATTAATTTACAGGTGAAAAATAAGAAGTCTAGAGAGAAACTCGTGCAAATCAAATTTTCATAATTATTATTAAACTTTAGCATGGCTCATCTGGAAAATTTAATGAAGCATTTGAAGCATAAATATATACACAGTTGAACTTCGGTATCTCGAATACTGATATCTCGAATACCACGGATATGTCAAAGTGATTTGGAAGTCCCAATCCCTTATTCTTTAAGTATTTTACACTAGATATCTCGAATCCTCGGATCGATATCTAGACGTTTTTTTTTTCTTGGTCCCATAGAGTCCGAGATAACGAGGTTTGCCTGTACTTATTCCTGGATTCCTCCTACATGGAAGAGGTTTTATACGGTGTGTAGAGTCTCAAAGAACTTGGGATTGTGCTCCGGTAGAATTGACCTTCATCGGAATCTTTAACCTGGCTATTACAGGAAGGAAAACAAACTAGTCAAATGCAGTACTTACACTGTAAATTAAGAAGGTAAATAAACATTCCATTCAGAACTACTCTATAATAAATAGCCGATGTATTGTTGCATATAAGAACAGAACTATGAGGAAATCAGCATATAAAGGAGTAAATTAATGGGTTTATCAAGTTTATTTTCAATATAGAGTATTTGGCATATTTCTCCAGGAAAAAAAATTCCAAAGAAAATAAAGTACTTAGTGAACAGAAATCGATGTTTTTTTAATGTTGGGAAAGTACAAGCACATGCAAATAATGTATGAAATCACTTTATCGTGGTTAAATACATGTGAATTGCATATGATAAGAATACTTGTCATATTTTTATTTCAAATCATTTCATTTACTGTAGATTTTCGTTTATTCTATAGCACATTAAAGGGCAGATCCAGACCACTCTATAACTTCACAAAAGTACATGACATTGGAACTCTTCAGTGAAGAGTGTTTAGAGCTTCCTTAATTTTCGATAAACTGTTCTGAATTTGCCAAGCTGAAAGGAAATGAAAATGGAGGCCAAATTCAGTTCATAATATTTTCTTGTCCTTGAGCATATAAATTATTGATGATTGTATTAGTTGATATTAAAACATGGGTCAAGAATTACCTAAATCCAACGTCACTAGACTACAAAAGCGGCATTTACGTAAATGAACAGAAATAGTTTAAAGTAATGAAGTTCATAAAAGGGTAATTAGATGACACAAGCTATTTTTCATCGTACGAAAAAATCATAGTTAATAAATCATTATAAGAAAGATTGCATACCAGATTTTAAAGATAACAAATCAGAACAAACGTAGCTTAAAAACTGATCTCTCCCACAACAAAAATAAATACTTTAATGCATATTTTCTTTTGCTAATGATCCTTTTCTCATTATTCATAAAAAAATATAACCTAAAATATCTTATATAAAAGTGAAACATGCACGTGTTTTTGAAAAATGCCCAATTTAGAAGAGGAAGCTTCAACATATTGGCCCTGTACTTTTTTTAATAAAGGAATTTCAGTGCTAAAACCAGACTACGTTTTTAAAGGTTAGATTCAAGCAGCTTTGCAAATCGCCTTTGGGGTCTAATGTCAAACATAATTTGTGCTTCGCAGAAAAAGTTCTTTTTTCTAAAAAAAAAAAAAACTAATCCAAAAATGGTATCAACAGCATTAAAATCTCTGGATCTGCCAAAGGTAATTACCGATATTACAGTGTCATCATCAAAAACGAAATGAATTTACAACTAGATCTTGACGTATATTAAATATACAGCAAAATATGCACCATTTATTTATATACTGCAGGATATACGTATGTTGAGGACTTCACAAGATACACTCTGCGACGGAGAGTAATAAATCTCAAAACCAAATGGCTGGCCACAGAATTTTATTTACATTGCAATTGGCTTTCAGCACATTTTTATTACAATCGGTACGTAGTATGCTTTTGATTTTACATTGTTTGAATTAAATTTTAAGCATTTATTGATTTTAAGCATTTAACCTTTGTTTTGGACTTGGTTACTTGAAATTGAAAATATATATTTTGGTGTTTTTACGGGCATGAATTTGCAAGGAAGTAAAAATTTTCATTTCGTAAGAATAAAAATAATTTTTTGCGATGGATTTTAAATTACATAAATCGCAAAATCTTTCATAGAAACTTTATATTGAAGCAATTTTGAAATCTCGTTTTTAATGAATATATGTCTGTCTATTTCTCTCACTCGTGCACGTATTAATATTTTTTATTTGATGTCCCTTAACTCTGTCATACAAAAATCATCTTGAATTACAGGGTAATTCATCTTTAATAAAAATATATTCTGTCCTTAATTTTTTTTTATTCATTTGATTAATTTCTGTGTTATTTCCTACCTTTTTCTCTCAAATTTTAGTTGCCGAATTTGTTTTCATTCTTTTTTTTTAAATTTTTGTTTTTGTTTCTACAATTGAAGTAACTGCCCATCTATGCAAAAATAATGACCTGCCTTCAACCTTTGTAACAATTTATCTATTACTTCATAAAGTAAAAAAAGTGCACTTTTCCCTGCAAATTATTTATCCATTAATCAAACGCCAGAAACTTTGATTGTCTAAACTTAAGTCATTTTTCGTCCGCCAATCTTCTTGTTATTTATTTCAGTGCGAGGGAGTTTGGTACCATTTTCTAACAGGAAAACCTGATTCAGAGGATAAAACGGTGTTCGTGAATCTCACTAAGTTCCCTAATGGAACCATCCATAGTTATAAAACCAAATATGACGGGTGCGTTTTCTGTTCATTATTCTCAAGTTTAAAATTAGCGGCCTGGGATTATATATATTTGAAAGTAATGGTAGACTTTACTGTTCCGATCTTGTAGATAGGAATGTAGGACGGTCATGGTAAAAGAAAATGGACTAAATACTGTAAACCAACTATTATTCACGTCATCTATTATTCGCGATTAGTCAGTTGAAATCAATTAGTTTTCGCGACTGAAGAAACATTCTCTACAAATACAAAGCAAAATAAATGGTACGCGGCAATTAATATTCGCGAGTTAAAGAAGGTCGCGTAACTCGCGGATATTTCTCGCACGCGAATAAAAGTTGGTTTACAGTAATTTTTTGAATATTTAAGGCCTCAGTTTTTTGGCTGGTAATTGTTGGTGATATGGCTCTTTAATTTTGTGTATATTTCGAAAGAGAAAAGTACATGTATTTTTATCTTCACATGTATTTCTTCTAAGCCATATTGCATGAAATTCTGATGTAAAAACAAAACTTAAAAAACTAAAATCACATGAAAAGGAGAACTGAAGTTGAACAAATTAAAAAGTGAAGATAAGGAACAGTAATCGATCTCAAAAACAAATCTACAAACAATACAAATCTGTGTGCAGGGCAAAAAGCAGGGACCCCCGGGAATTCCAGAGGTGGGATCAGGTGCCTTGTAGGATTAAGCATCCTCGGTCACACCCGCTGCGAGCCACATGTATTGAATTGGTCACGTAGACGAATTAAACCGTACTCAAATTTAGTATAGAAATAAAGGTCTAACAATTTTTATGAACACGTCAGCCACAATACGACCCAGTGATAGGTTGTATTTGCTAACAAGGTCATTATAACGAACATAGAATTTATGAAACGCTGACTTTAAACTAGCTAATTCAAGGAATTTTTGTCCCCCACGATGGAAAAAAAGTAGAGGGTGGAAGAAGAAAATGAAGATGGAGAAAGAAAAAATGGTCGACCTTGACCTTTCAGTTTTTAGCCTTAAATTCAATAGGGGTCTTTTTTTAAATTACAAATTTTATAGCAAAATCTTACAGAGAACTAAAGTTATCATCTGAAAACTGTATGCACTATGTAATATATGAATATCTGACCTTGATCTTTGCCCTTTGACCTCAAAATCAATAGGGGTCTTTTTATGTCATGTTGACTAAAGGTATGGAATTTCAATCTTAAACCTCAAAGAGAACTAAAATTGTCAACAGGAAATCTTATGCAAGATATATATATATATATATATATATATATATATATATATATATATATATATATATATATATATATATATATATATATATATATATATATATATATATATATATATATATATATATATATTAGGGATGTCAAATCGGTCAATTTTTGATAATCGGTTACTCGGACGTTTTTCCGATCGAGTACCCGGGTACTCGGTAAAATATAAATACAAGTGTGGTAATTTTCTTGAGCCACGTTAAGCTATGTTAAACTCCAAAGCTGTTTTTACATGTATCACGTTTATAAATGTACATAAACATCGAGTCCAACGGGGATGATTTTTTGGTACTACATTTATTTATCAAATAAACACAAAAGACACAATTAATAGATCAAAAATTAAAAAAAAAAATGTTTACAGTTCTTCTTTAGGATCTATTTCATCAACGCAAAAGGAGGACAATCTGTTACGCAGGTTTTTGATGATAGCGAAAGAGAAGGAACGGACGTTGTTGGGATCGCTAGTCTAATATTATTTCATATGTTGATTGTTTCCCCCGTATACACTAAACTGACTTTCAATTTTTTTTTAATCTTTAATGATTTCTAAATATTTCTCAACTTTTGAAGTGGGTACCAGCATGTCCGATTTCGCTACCGTATATTAACTTAATAATTTTAAAATGATTTGAAGATAATAGACCATATTCGAACGATGTTCACTGAAAACAATCATTGAAGCCATCCAAAAATTAAAGACCACAGAGGTGAGAACAGCTGTGTACCAGGTGATTGGTCACTAATTACCGTATACACACTGCCACAGGCGGTAACGGGTGTTTTACAGGTGTAAATGACGACACGCTAATTACCGTATGGATATTAAAGTTATTTTTTGGATAAGTTTTTGATAAAAATATGTACTTTGAAATAAGAAAAAATACACATCCGAGTAACCGAGTACCATTTTTAGTATTCGATACTCGGACGTTCGATCGAGTACCCGGTTAACCGGGTACTCGTTGACATCCCTAATATATATATATATATATATATATATATATATATATATATATATATATATATATATATATATATATATATATATATATATATACTTTGACCTAAAAACAATAGGAGTCTTCTTTAGTCATTGAAAGTTATAAATTTTCATTGAAAATTCCAAAGAAAAAATAAAAAATATTATTTGGAAGCCATTTCTTGCACTGTATGATGAATATCTGACCTTAACCTTTGACCTTTTGTGTTACGATCAATAGGAATCGCCTTTAAGTCAGGGAAGTTATATTATTTCATTGAAAAAGTTTGAAGAGAACTATAAGTATCATCTTGGAACAATTTTTTTGCAATGTATGAATTCCTGACCTTGACCTTTGACCTTTTGATCTCAAAATAAATAGGGACCTTCTTTGGGCCAAAGGACGTTTTGAAATGAAATTTTATTTAAGTTTTTTTTTTTTTTTTGAGATATCGTCCGGAAACAAAAGTGCTACACACAGACAGAATGTATGATTTTTTTTTTATCTTGACCTTTGATTTTTGACTTCAAAACCAATAGGGATTAGATTTTCTGTAGGCCAAAGAGAGTTGTGATATAACATTTCACTGAAAAGGCTCAAACGGTTTTTGAGATATCGACTGAAAACTAAAGTGTTACACACACAGACCCAAATTAATATCCCCCATTTTCAGTGAAAGCAGGGGACAATAAAAGGCACTTTTGCGATATCGATAGTTCAATCTAAATGACCAATACAATGCGCATGCGCGGACAGAAGGCTGTTAACAGAAACAAACTCGTGAATAAAGCTAGAATTTAAAACAGGTTTCACATTTTATCCATGAAGTCTTTTGATTTTCATGAAATTAGGGAATATGGAAGATAAGAATTTTTTTCCTCTATTTTCTCCCAACAGACAAAATTGCTATCAAATGGGACCAGTTGAATTGAAAATGGAAACCAAAACTCAACCAATGACGTTTAGCAATGTTTACAAAACCTGTAAGTACTAGAATTACATTTTTTTTCTTTAATTTTTTTTGTTTGCTTATTTAAAAAAAAAATGATTACAGCTTTCAGAAAAACCAAAAGCACTTTAAAGAGTAAAAAGGAGTTTGCAAGAACGCAAGTACTACTTACAACAGATTATAATATCTTTTTGTGTTATAGAACATGTTAATCAAAACAATATATGTGTACATGAAACAGGAAATTTTCGCTTTTTTAAAGATTACTCACATGGCAAAAATATTCCATTGATAGGAATAAAAAAATCTCCTACTGTACATTGAAGACTTTATTTTGTAGTATTATTTTTTGTTCTTCACTTTTTTCAAATATTTAGGTCAATGACATACATTTCACTAGTGGCCCCTGAGAATTTCTCGGAAAATATACCTCAATTCTTTACGCTATGACCAATATTTTCTTTATTAACAAAATACAATAAGTAACAAAACTCTTCTGAGAATAAATATGAATACTGAGTAAACAATTTGAGTTTGAACAATAAACATGTTAATTAATTATTCCAGTCCGAATTTCCTCTTCATTTTCTAAACTTTACCCATTTTTAAAGTAATATTACAAAAATCTGAATGATAGGAAACTATTTATAGAGTCAGTTTACTTTTATCACCCTTATTCTACTGGTATTAGAATTATATGAGGTCAGTGATAAAATTCTTGAGATACTAGTATGGATTCTGAAATGGCTTTAGTTTGTTTGTTTTTATATTCTTTACTGTGTGCCATTCAACATCTTCGCTAGCTCCTCATGTGAGGAGAGTAGCGAATCAGAAACCCTTTGCTATAGCGAAGATTACCATTCAATTATTTGAAATAATATATGAACTTTAACAAACATAATATTAACGTTTTGCAAAATGATGTTTAAAAATAGAGAATCTTAAGTTTTAGAATAATTTGGCAAGGAAAAAAATGAAGAAAAAAAATATAATTCAGTTCCAATTTCCTCTGCATCACAATGAATTTACCTTTGTTTATTTCACATCTTCTTCATATAGTAAAATGAAAATTGTGTTATTGATATTGATTTATAAGACGGTAATTCTGTCCATTTATAGCAGTTCTTGATTTAAAATATTGTACTTTATCGCAATCCGTTTCTGTCAACTAAAACCCTGAGTAATCGTCATCCTTAATCCCGAAAATCAAAAGGGGAATATTTTCAATTTTTTGAAGTTGACAGCCCATTGCTCTACATAAATGTATTTCTTTGTTTAAAGGCCATCTCAGCAATTTAGCATTGCTGCACATCCAAAATCCGAAGGAACCCTATCAGATCGTTAAGGTAGAGACTAAAAATAATTATGACGTGAAAAGCGGAAACTGCGTAAGCAGATCGGGAACTTACTTTGTTGTCCTAACGCAAACCACGAACCCCTCATCGGACATGCTGTCGGACATACGTAACGATTTGCTGGGACTTGGAATCGCCTTGCTAAAGAAACAAGATTTATCAGGTAGCTTCTTAGTTTACTTTATGGATTTCAATTGGCTCAGCATTTTTTCCATACATTTTCTGACATAAATATTTTTGAAATAATATTTTCTTTTAGTTATTTTGACAACAACATGAAAGTAAAATGAATAGAAACCATGAGTCGAGCATTCGATGTATGAACTTTATTACATAATTTAGATATGCAAAGAACAAGGTACGGTTTCAATACAAATCTTGCCCTGTGTTTTTTCTTAAAAATAAAAGTGATGTTAAATATTAAAACTCATGCTTTTTGAATTATTGTAATTCCATGCAGAAAGATCATACGAATCTTTTTTCTCACATGACCTTCCAAATGCTAATTGTGACGTCATAAACTTGTGCATTTTCCCGTATTTTCTTAAAAAGTTGCAGAAGACATCAATTTTTAATGGAATTTTCTTTCAGATAATATTGTCCACAGGCATCGCCCACAAAGATTTTGAGATATGTGATTTTTCAAAGAATTTTACACAACATATCTAAAAATTAACGTGGGCGACGGCTGTGGACACTATTTTCTTAAGGAAAATAACCCTTGAAAGGGGTCATTTTGAGGCTTTTTCTGTTTAAAATAGAGAAATGCATTAAATTAATGACGTCATATATCCAGAATGGTACTCCATCATGCTATATTCTTTCCTGATTTATTACAGTCATATACTCAGCTAATATTTAAGCCAGTTTCAAAACTTTTTGAAAACATTAAATTTTTAGGGCACAATAAAGCTAAAACCATACCTTCTTCTTTGCATATATCAAATCAAGATATATACCGCATGATCATTCAATTGATGATCTAAATATTTTATTTTTCAGTTTGCCCTGTAAACAAGGTTGGACATAAGATGTGATCATATCAGAATATTAAACATACGCACAGAAAAAATTATACTACATAACATATTAATATAATCTTATTTAAAGTATGACAATTCTTTAGCATAAACTGATAAAGGGGTCTAAATGCTACCTGCGACTAAGGTCAAGTGCTACATCATACTCATCATTTTAAATGAAACTATTAACTGGCAGTACTCAGAATCTTCCTAAACATGCTAAATTCAGAAAAAAAATACGCAACTGTCGAAATAAAGTCCTAGACATGTTTTATACTTAAGTGAGTTTACAAAGATAAAAATATGATAGAAATGCAAGAATAAATAGAGGATATTCAATGTTTTGTAGATGAATATGGAATTTATTTCACGAGTGGGACAGGATTTTTTGATATTTTCACGAGTGCGAAGCACGAGTGAAAATATCAAAAAATCCTGTCTCACGAGTGAAATAAATTCCATATTCATCTACAAAACATTGAATTTTCTGTTTATTACATTTTCTTTGATTTTCCCTTTGCCTCTGTCTTTTCTTAACACAGTGTCATAGGCTTGACGTCATAGTTGAGCGGTTGAGACGTCATAGCTTAGAAGTTGTGTGTCAGATTGAAAACATTACATAGCATGGAATTTAGCAACATATTTGGGAAGAAATTTGCAGTTTTAGCTCTATCAATATGCTTAGTTACTATCTCTATCTTATGAAAGGCCAGAAATTATTTTTTACTTACTTTGATATCCTTTCACACTGTGAGAGAATATCATTTTTGGTATCCTTTCACACTGTGAGAGAATATCACTTTTATTCAATAAATAAATCACAGTATTTCACTGTTGAAAATGTAATAAAATATGTATATTTGGTCTACACGATTGCGTAGTAAAACATGCGTCTTCGAGGTGATCTTAAATATATCTCAGCGGATCGACTACAATAGTGATCCACATTCACTCATAGAACATGTTTTATTACATTTTCCTTAATATTAATGTTGTTTGTGCTGTTCAAAATAAAACTTCTTATTCCAATGTTCTTCTGATGTTTATTTCAACTGTTTAGTTGATAGCAAATTCTATAGTATTTCATGCAATAAATTATTAAAGATAACGATCACTGACCATTCTCAAAGGTCCATTTAAAAAATTCAAATTATGAGAAGGGCCAACACGGACCTCTGAAAACAGGTGTGGGATTAGATGCCATGGAGGAAAAACGCATCCCCAGTCGACCGGTCCACCGGCCATGTGATCCTTGTGACGGAAAAATCCGTAGACAATTTAGTGTGAAATAATGGCCTAAATTTATATGAAAGACGCGTACGTCAGTCAACATTCGACTTCACGATAGATTGTATTTGCAATGCAAACAAGGTCATTGTATCGGTCATAAAATTTGCAAAATGTTGACTGTAAACTAGATTGCTGATATTTTTATATCAGCAACTTATTTGTCAATACCCTACTGTTCGTACGTAGAACATGGTCTTGCATATCGAATCAGCTGGGAGACATAGAAATAAACTCCTTATGCAATTGATAATGGTTTATTTAAGGAATGAAAACCGCATGGATTTTGTCAGTGAGAAACTCAAGCATCTTCCTGGTATCAACTACAGAGAACCTGTGTGGAAAATCAGATCGTTTTTAAACAAAAGTTTGTAGCTGAATAATGACAAGGTATGCAAATGTACGAGTTCTATTGTATGGAAGAGGCAGTTGATTATGATGTCAAAAAAGAAGATCTTTAATTTTTCGTGGGGAATTGTTGTGTAAAGTGTTGAGAGGTCATTATTATGCTATTGATTTTGGTAAAATTTTATGATTTCAAGTTATAAATGTTCCTCGGAGTTTTTAAAGTATCAAAATCTGATTGATTAACACCACTTCTTGAATATGTTGTTGGACAGTACTCCTTCGGTTTCTCCTCCACTGCTGTTAATATGTCCCTAAGAGTAAATTAAGAGGCTTGCTAGAACATTTACACGAACCCAGTATATATTTTAATGTTTGTTTATGTAAGGATTTTCTTTAAGTTTAGGAATCCAGTATAAGTATGCTAATTCAAATTCAATTTGTTTGTTGTGAATATTAAAAATATTTGAAACTGACATATAAGTTTGAATAATTTCCTCCTTAGAAAGGGAACTATGTGTAAAAGTTGAATTATTTCTTGTAGAATTAAATTCAACGAAATTCCCCTAAAATGCAATTAATAATAAGCCTTACCAACAAAGACGATATTGTTACCTGCAATCAGGTATATGGGTTCTGAATGAACAATTAAGGAATTATCTTAATTACTAACTTTTTAAATTCGTGATACGTTTGTTGCCTACACTATTTCTGAATTTTTGCAAGACAGGAAAAAACTCTAAAACTTTGTCCGCATTTCTCAGCTTAACAAACTCGTTCAATTCCCCAACAAAATTGTAATTAAATGTGTTCTCTTCTCCACATGGGTCACAGTATTTAAATGCAATACATTTGTATTTAATACTTATATCAAACATACGATTTAGCAATGATATATTTCACCTTATCGTTAATTGAAAATTGTTAGCACAAAGTTGGTGGAATAAACCAAACAAAAGGGTTATTAAATATAAAAAAAACCTGTCCATGAAGACAGTCGCACTTTAGAACTTACATTGAAATATCAATGAATGAGAACAATTGATCTTGATTTTGTATATCTACAAAAATCTACATGCACACAATTGCATTTTCTATGTGTATGACAATTGCTCAAGAATGATGTAATTATTCATTCTTGTGTAATCCTTTTATTATGCATATCAAATGATCTATTTTTGTCAGCAACTTAAACTGCGTGATTTTTTTATGTTTTAATTATTTTGAATATTCAAGTCATAAATAAATTCAAGTCATAAAAACTGCTAAAAAATAATAATGATTAATAGATTTTTTTCTAATTTCAAATCAACATTTGACCAGAAATTGCCATAAGTAATGTGGCCAAAACTAATGAACCCAATCCAGAAATCATGCAGGAAACATTTCAAACTCTAGTCTCTGAACACGGAAAATCATTTGTCTAACTTCTATATATGTATGAAGAGCGTTACATATAACGTTGGTCGCACAGCTTAATTGGTAAAATAACGGGTAAAACATTCAAACAATCAGTGCTGTAGATTTTCCAAGACGTCTTTGTATTTAACTACATTGAGGTATGTTGTCTTGTTCTCAAAACGTTTTGTCATAAAGTGGATTAATATAAATTCTGAATTGACTGAATGAAATGCAACTTCTAATCCCTCTTAAATAAATCTTACTCATGGTAGAATTCATCCAAATAAGCCACTATTTATTTAACTCAACATTTTGAACGAAATACGACTTCAAATTTGGTCCAAATTGCCGCCTTACGAAATTGCTCAAAGTTTCATCCATATTATGAAAAATACCCTCTATCAATTCCATATTAGTCAATATACTGCATGCTTATCAATAAGAAGAAAGGGAATGTTAAACAAGTAGTCAACGGACACACACAACTTCGAAAATTTTGGCTATTTAATTGCGTTTATTGTGAGCATGACCATTGTTTAACTATGAAACTGCTATGTCCATGATGTATTCAGCTTTCGTAACTGCTTAGTCTTTGACTGATTTTTTGATGATGGAAACATTGAATGTAAAAGGGTAAAGAGATGAAAAGTTACTGTAAAATAAAATATTTTCGAGGGATAAAATTTTCGAGGTTTTAGAAAAAATTAAAGTTTGTGGGATTTTAATTTCCTGGTTAGAGAAGGGATGAAGCGGTATGTGTGTAAGTTTTTCACATTTCCTGCTGGACATCAATTCGTGGTTCTTTTCATACTTCCAAAACAACGAAATTAATCCCCATGAAAATATATGCGATTTCAAAATATTATCTATTTTTCTAAAAGGACAAACGGGTGTAACATTTTTTTCCGAGCAGAAACAAATATAACTACTTATAAAATTATTGCTCGGAGAAGTCATTTTCTTTTGAAAAGAAATGATGTGTGGAGATAACGAACAGTTTTCAAGCTCAAAAGTCTATTCAAACAATACAAATCAGGGACAGAGCAAACACGGACCTCTAAGACATCACAGAATATAACAATTATTTTAGAAAAAGAAAAGTTTATTCTATATAACTCTGGGTTCGCTGTACTTTTTAAAGCAAGACTATAAAGACTATAAATCTTGATAGCTCAGATACATGAAGCTCAGAATAAATTGTTACTTGCTAGAACCTGGAGTCAATATTACGTCTATTTATCTATTTATCATTTGTCAAGGAAGAAGTAAGTTATATATTAAATGATCTAACAGATCAAAGATATAAACAACAAATCTTTAATTAAAACAAGAAATCAATTAAGGAACATAAAATTATATAAATTATATAAATACATACATACATACATACATACATACATATATATATATGTATATATATATATATATATATAAGACACTTAGAGAGATAATACGGAACTATATGGCGTCCTTAAAAATGAATATTTGGCGAGACGTAAAGCCGAAACAAATGTGCATTTTTTCAAGGACCCCACTTAGTTCCATATTACCGCTATTAGTCTGTACATACGAATTTATACATGAATTTATATATGAAAAAACATATTGTAGTTGAACTGGAAATAGGAAATATTCAAGGGGTATGTTGATTTGATATGCGGTCAGTAGGTCAAGTGGAGGGGGCATATTAACAACATAATGTCTGTAGGCAGCATAATTTGGTTTTAATCAGTATTATTCTCCTCCACTGAAATTTTTTTTTATCAGAGATAAGATATATATATATATATATATATATATATATATATATATATATATATATATATATATATATATATATATATATATATATATTAGGGATGGCAATCGATTACAGAATTGCTAATCGGTTAACCGCAAGACGTTCCGACCGATTAACCGGTTAATCGTATCAAAATACACATTTAAAAAATAATGTACATCTGTATTCATATACACAAAACGACTGAAAGAGAGATATTAGAAGTTAGAAACATTCTGCTCATTATCTTGAGCAGGAAACTGTATGTACATATAAATTATTTTATTTCAATTTTTATAGTTAGACAAGAAAAAAATAAGAAAACCATGAATCTTGCCTGAGAAATCCATAGAAGACGCGGATATCTTACCAGTGCAGATGTCATACAAATTCATTCTTCATTGTCACATAATCAAAACTTTGTCTGAACTTTAATTTATACGATGTTTTTCTAATGATATAATTTAATAGATATTGGCAAAAGAAAAAAAGTGCTCAATGGTGTTTATGTAAAATCATTGAAGTATTACATGGTGCCGACATAATGTTTTTAAAAACAGTAA